AGTTCGAAGATTATCAAGTCTGACGAATATCTGTGTAACATTTAGATTTTGTCGATACTTTTTGCCGGTGAGTGTAACTTATCGCAATTTTTTGTCCTCTAAGGTGTGTTAAATTCATTATTAATTGCATTGCTCGTTATGCTAGAATTCTCAAATGTAGGGGGTGGTCGGTGACGTTTGAGACGGTACTGTACATGGTATTGTCTTATTTACTGATTGACATATGACATAATAACGAAATGTAGGTAGATGCTTTCCGGGCCTATTCACACAAGCGATTGATCTATAACCAAGGCGTGTTGTGTTATACTTAAAAATACGCGTAAATTATTCGATATTATATAATATGTAATAATTGTGACTAACGGTTTGACAAATCTTGTTCAATTGAACCTAATAATGAACCTCGACAATGGATAAGCTTACGCGAATAGCAATTCAGATCCGTAAAGTTTATAACAATTTGCCGTCATACTTGTACATTAATGCAAACTCGGAATCGACTTGCCCGAATCAACATTATCAATCCTCTCTACAAGTCACATTAATATGTTTTACCAATAAGACACGATCTACACACACCGCTATGCAAGCATTCTGCCTATATTTCTGCTTCCTGAGATATTTGCTCGAGATTTTCCAATTCAAATCCAATCTCTGCCTTCTCAATTTTGAAATGATGCAACTCGCGTGCCAAAGATCTTATGTGTTTATCACTACAAATACATTTCAGCTGCAGTTCAATATTTGATTAGCTTTTGGTGGTCATAACTAATAATCGTATACATACCTGGCCTTCATACACCAAACACAGTAGTCATCCAACCAAACCTTGGAATATATATAATAAACGTCATGATTGTCGAATGTATCCTTGATGTCCAAAAGTACTTTTATAATTGCACGTCTTCCCAATTTCAATAACACATAGACGTCTTGCAATACTTTTTCGCAAAGTATGAAACTTCGGTAGAGTGGATATGACAACGAACGGCGAAATAGAGCAATTACGGTCTCCCTTAATGTTGAAAATTGCTGGGTTTTCAGATTTTGCAATTTACTGTTAAATTTTATAAAAAAATTTTACCAATAATGCCCGCAAGTATTTTCTCCCATGTTTTGTATGCCTTACCTCTGACGATGATATTGTGGGACTAATTATGCCTATAGTCCAAGCTGATTCGATGGTATTCTCTCCTTCAGTAAATCTATGATTGTAGCTGTATGCATATAGAAGATCTACTAATCCCAGGTAAATCGCTTTCGCGTCATTTAAAAGATCTAGAAAAGACAATTAATAATAGGGATTACTCACTGATGCGGTCAGTTCCAATGTAAAAACAGTTTTTCTTATTGACTTACATTCTTTGTTAGGCAGTCTAAGCATCATTTCACGCTCACGCGATGTGAATTCCATCTCGGGATCTTTCACACTATGTAACTTCTCATTTTCGTTGATTGTACTCTCCGAATCTTTTGGCACTGTATATTGTACGGGATATATTTATGACAAAAAATCCTATTGGATAAAGGAAACTGTATATACATACCATCGTCGGTTTTTTGTAATCTCTTTAAGATTTTCCACCAACGCGTTTTATACTTTAGAAGGTTTAATATCGGCTCATTGTTTAATAGATCTGCGCTTATAAGAAACGTGTTAATACAGTAATCCAATAAGAACGAATGGTTTATGGTAGATTATTTACATATAATGATCTTCATCAAACTTCAAATCCTCTGCTTGTATTCTATTCTGCCGTCTTGACAAAGGCGTTGACGTCTCGGGATCTATTATTTCGTTAATTTCGTTACATGTTTCTTGCACGTGAGTGAAGTATCCTGAATACGATCCATTGAATCCATATTGCGCGTTTAGGAGTATTTCTGGAACGTCGACAATTTTTTGTGGAAGCTCCCAAGAATATTCGATAGCTGTATGAAAATATAATAAAATTGAAATATATTCATTCACTTTAAAGAGACTAAAACGGTTGACGGTTTACCTTCTTCGATTTCTGCATCGGTTAATGCATCATTGTTCTCGCCAACAACTTCTATTAGATGTCCACCATTTGAGCTAGCGCGTTCGCCACTACGAGCTAATAATTTTGTCAAGAGATCAAGATCCGGAAAATATTCCCCAGGCGTTTCTTTAGGGAGTTTGACTGTCATATTCCCCGATTCTACTTCGTAGAGTGCTGAGGCGCGAGTATCCTCGATGACATTTCCAGGAAGTTGCAGACTGTTTAAATTCAGTTCGAAAAGTAAGAGGTTTGTAACAATAATCGCACGTTATATTGGTTTCTAAATCGTTGATACGGGATGTTTCCTTACCGCAAGTAATATGGCTTTAGATAAAACCTGAATTGTGATCCATCAACATCGAGTTCTACATCTTGTGCCTGTAAACAAATTGATATAATGATATTGAATAATATGGATGGGTTACTTATCGTCATGCTCAGCTCAAAACGATTGTACTAACTCTAATGTAAGGAGCATGTATTGTTATTACGACAAAGTTATCATCTTGGGTAACTGAAAAGTGTGGGGTAATCATTGCTTCCACCGAAATATAAACTTTTTCACTCACGCCCAGAAAAATTATGGACTTTTTGGTTTCCGTTGATCATACCTTTATTTGGTTAGATTCCTGCCTTGAACAGGTATACTAACGAGTACAGAGAATATCAAATGTTGTATAATCAATTACAAATATTACTTGAATTTCTATTTTATTATTTGTCTTTCGTAATACATTAGAACGCGGACGGTTCAAAATAGCAAATAGAGAGAAGCTCTGAAAAAATTAGATCAAATATATCACAATGCATCAAGACCAATTTCCGTACGAATATAACAGAAAAACGTCAATGACAAATTACAGAACGTCAATTAAGCAACAACTAAACGTAAAATAAATACTTCATTATGCCATTCAATGTCTTGACTAATTCATCACATATACCAATCCTTTGACTACATTTCTCCCCTCTCCTGAATCACGATTAACAGTATCCCATTTCAACATGTCTGCTTCATAAGCAGAAGTCACAATACGCACCATTATACCCGCCGTTTCACTAAATATAGGATCTTGTCGTTCATTGACCCAGCTGCAGGTCATACACGTACCACCTTGTTGTAAGAGATAACGTAGTAAACTTCCCATATGTGGGTAATCGCGCAGTCTATCTGCTATCCATTCCACACGTTCTGTACAGTTGTTTAAAGCGTAATTTGCAGGAAGCGGCTTTACTGAAATCAACCCTTTTAATCGCAAATGGTAAAGCATATGGTACCCATTCTTTGGCGGCGCTCTGAACAACCTCTTGAACGTAGCAAATGGATGTTCTATACTTGTTATTCCATGTTGTATGAGAAAATCCACAACGTGAATATGCTGGTATCGAATAGCCTCCTCGAGCAATGTCGGGTACTCGGGCACTCGCCCGTGCTCGTCTACGGTGAATACTCGATGGTATATGAATAATCGAATCATATCTAAATCACCGTTGCGGCTTGAATAAGTTCTAAAGAAATTGCACGCAAGTTTCCACTCTTCCCGACTTATTCTTGCTTTCCGATTCCTTAGTATGCAATTGATCACGCTCTTATTATTCAAAGAGATAAACTTTGAAAGAGTCTTATGTGATTTGTATCCGCCATCAACTAAAAGACAGACAATGGCGGCAGCTTCATTACCCTTGAACACGGCACGACGCGCCAACTCTTGAAGAAATTTCTTGATTCCGTCTATTTCTGTTTCTGAATCGTCCTCTTCGTCAAGATCGTCAATATCATCTATGTCAACTGTGTGTGCGTCTCCATTCTCGTCGTCCTGTTTATCATTCTCATTTTTCTTCGGTTCTTCAGGGAAGAAAATGTCTTTGTAGTGCATGAGGACCGACTCCAAGAGCTGGTACTTGCCTAGTTCCAATAACTTTAACATCCACATCCCATCGTCCCCACACAAAATGTCAGCTCCATTATTAATCATGTATTTAACAAGTTCGAGCCCTCCTGTGTGGTCATCTCTGTCTCGCCACATGTAAGATGTAGTCACGCGAAGAGCTTGCGCATGGCCCAACTGACGTATTCCCCATCGAGCCAGAACGAATTTGTTACGTACTAACTTGTAGAAGAATCTGTTAACACGTCCGATCACCTCTAACGTATCACAAAACTCGCATATATGGATTAAAATCTCATTTGGAAACGACTCTAGTGATATCCATCTCACATACTTGGATCTCTCCCTTCCGAACCCTTTGCGTCCTCCTAAACTCGTTCCACCAATGCTCCTCTTTTGTGTCAAGGGATCATCACTATCACGACAGAATAGTCTTTTAACTATTCTCTGTCGACGATTAGACGCTTCCAACGCAACTTTCCTACGAGATAACTCCACTAACTCGGTCGTCATTTGTGGAGGTAAGGGAGGTAGGCGCAGTTCTGGTGAGACTGCGAAAGTAAAAGTGAATCCATCAAATGTGAGGTCGCGGTTGCTCGAGTCAACCGAATCGTTTAAAAGTGAAGCATCAACTTCCATTGCGTCATATTTAGCGTGTTCCTATTAGTTTCAGAGAAGGAGGTAGGATTTGATTGGAAGGGTTTAGGGAGAGTCTGATGTACGTAGACTGGATGCTGAAAAGCGTCAAGTGAAAGACTATTGGATACCATTCTCGTAAAGGTGTCTTAGGGTTGAGTGGTTAGGACAAATTGTTTCGTTATTCGCGCTTACCCGCGGCAGAGCTGTTTCACTACCGTCGTCTCCCTGCAAGCGTACTTTAAAAAAAAGCGGCACTAAACTCTTAGAGAACGGCCAGCCTGAGGGGTGATAGCCTATAAGAATGTTACACAATTCGTGCTTTAATGATCAACTGTTACTCGAATCTAAAATTATTATGTCATTCGCAATTTGAGAATGGTCACACAGTAGAATCTGGATTATTAACGTTAATAAGACTACGTTACGTATCTACAATGCAAGCTCAAAAAAAAACCAATAAATAAATAAATACATAAATAATATAAAAAATAGATTTAGCATTGTTGAAGTTTATTTTATTTATCTACAACATTCAATAATGCAATGGTACCCCACTCGGATGAATATTGGCGAGTAAAATTTGATATATGGATGCGCAAAGATTATTGAAAATGGGATATATAGTTTCTTGATAGAATGCACAAACTAGACGTTAAATCAGTTATATTATCTACCAGTAATTCTATAGTTGTTTGGATGGAAATTTAGTATTATATGCTTGTTAGCATGCGACACATTATTTTCCTTTTTAGAAAAAGACTCTTCTGCAAATAAAGAGTAGAAGAAACGGTTAATCTGTGCGATAGCCTCGCCGTTTCCTTGACAGCAAGACGAAAATTGACTGCTAGTTTCAGCGCTTGCAACTAATCGGTATCTCATTGTAAGAATACAATATTATTTTTAGGTGTTATGATATAGAAAGGTGAGCGTGCCGGCATCACTCTGCCTTCCACTAGCTTTTATATTACAGGACATTTCCCAGTCTTTTGATCTGGAGTGTTGCTGTAACCATTGTTAGTTACAGCAGCTATATTTGTGGGATCGCGTAGATATTCAAAGCACCACCACAGTCACGGTTGTGATATGCGGTTAGAGCATTCTTTTTATTTGGACTATATTTAGGGTCACTGCATTGTCAGTATTTACTTTCATGTAGATAAGCAGGTTTCAGAGGAAGTAGACATTTAAACAGGCGGCTTATGCAAAGTGTTGCATCAATACGGTTCACGTATTTGAATAAAGCTGACAAAATTGTAAAGACACTTGCATTGATGAATGTCGTTCCATTTTTTTCAACCGGCATATTGAATCTCACGGGAAGTAGTCTTCCTTAATTCCATTTTTTGGCATTCACATCAGGTATCCCCAACATGATGTTTCGCTCGTTAAGGAGTATAACTCTTGAAGCTTGACAAAGAAAGAAAATTTTGAATTTTTGCGTAATTAAACCTTTGAAATAAAAAAAGACGTACTCACGTATATAGAATCACATGAGATTCATTTATAAAATAAAGCAAGCGCGTAATTCGAATGTTCCTTTCTAATATCTATACAATCGTCTGCTATACTTATCTCCATGATCTCGCTCCAATCTTCTCGTTCTGTTGACTTTTGTTTCTTATAACATCTCTGCCTTCGATATTAGTGATATCTTTTTTTCTACGTTATCTCCTTCTGATTTGTTCTAATAAATACATCACATAACATCCAACCAGAAATCATTCTCGCAATAATGTTACTTACTTTGGTCAGTCAACTGACATTCTCAAAACTTCGTGTTAGTTCTCATTTTACAAAACTGTCTTATATATGCACAAGACATTATGTCAGAAAACGACAGAATTGGTACGAGTCTTATGACAAAGATGAAGGTATCATTTGAAAGCTACTTCACAGGCATTCATCAATTAATCCCATTCTTATCAAAGTTGGTAATCTTACCTCAGAGCGATTTTTACAAAAGGTGGAAAGAATAAACTCGAGGAAATTGACCTTCTCTACGGTCTGAATGTAGTCTTGCCAGCTATTGAACAGTTTCGGCGAACGATGTACGCACTTTACTACAAGGACTCTATGCTGTCTCGAAAAAGAGACGATCCAGGTGAAAAATTGATACCCAACTGCGAACCACCAAAGGCACTATTTTCTTCCATTCACAGTTCTCAAATGTCATGTAGCCACGGATCGCATCTTCTCGCTCGCTGAGAAACACTCTATTCCGACAATTCGCAAGAGTCCCTATGAATTAAGCAAACTCACCGAGGACAGACCACATCAAGGCTTTGTTCTGGAAGCATCGAGGATCAAACCAATCCGTATAACAACTCTGGATAAACCAGGGAAAACTGGGTATAGAATACTTTCGCCCGGCAATAATTCGATAGGAATGCGGCTGTCAAATCGGAGATTTCCTCTTTGGATTGCTTTGGATCAGATTGTTGATCCGCAGGTAAGCAAGCATGGACTGATGATGAGGTTTGCTATTTTGTCGTGGCTATATAGTATTAATTACAATATTGGGTTAGAACCTTGGCGCTATTATGAGGTATTTGGCGTGATTGAATTGTTATTATCTATGAAGATAATTGTAAATAAAGCTCTCTATCGTTTGGAAGGACGGCGTATTTTATGGGAGTCGATGGGTTAGTCATGTGCACCACGGAGAGGTGAAGATCTCGTCTCCCTGTTCGTCACTTTAGAGAATAAAATGAACTGATTTAACAACTGTTCAGTGCGCCACTCTCAGGCTTCGCATCGAAAGCCAGTGCAGGAGTTCTTGAAGTTATGGATATTTACGATACCGATAGAATGGATAGATTTCTAGAGGTAGGTTGGATTTTATTCTCGTGGCATCGACAATTATTAATAAATCGCTTATATCAAACAGACATCATCTCGTAATGGGTGGAAAGTATACGGATCGGTATCCCCTGAAAATGATGTTGATGCGATATCAATAGTTGATCTGTCTCCACCAGTACAATTGCAACCATCAATTCTCGTTCTCGGTGGTGAAGGTATATAGGATTACAAAGACGCATCAGAACACAACAACAGTGACGACTATTAATGATGTTATTAGTCGATATGCTGCTTGTCACTATTGGACCCTTAGAAACGCTCGCTTACTAAAAACGTATCTATTTCATCTAGGAAAGGGATTACGGCCGTTCATTCGCAATGTGTGTCAAGAGATGGTTTATATCCCCTCACCAGGTGAACGAGGATTGTTGCACGTTGACTCTTTAAATGTCAGCGCAGCGGCAGCAGTCCTGATTTACAAATTTCTCCTGGGTTAACAGAACAAGTAGAGACACAAGGCTCTACCTGGCAGATTATGCCACAGTTCCAAGCTGATCATAGTTGATTTCAATAAAATATTAATTGTACACTTATTTCAATACAGCCCAAGAAAACATTGCAAACCCTATTGGTGCTATTAAATCAATGCCGTCGAGAAAAAATATCAAGGTTTATTTTGCTCTATAGGAGATACCGGAGTAACAAGTGAAGAATAACAAGATTCACCAAACAATAAAGAAAGTTTGCAAAGTGAAAATGTTCTTCCCATGCAAACGAATGTACAAAATCAGAAACGAAATTATTTACAATCGACCATCATGAAACCCCATATAGCTCTTCGAAAAGCTCCTCCAACTGTCTCAAACTTCTATCCACGTCACTGTAAGTAGCACAAGTGGTACTCGAGTTGTCATTCGGCCCAGTACAAACGTTTAAGTGTTCAAGTCCAATAGTCTCCTCAATTGCCTGTTCTAGTCTAAGGACTGCATCGATCAGATTTTCATTTCCCTGGGATATTGGTTGACCTTGCTCAGGAGCAGAGTGCTGTATGGGCTTGACACAATTCGCAAACGATTTGAACACTTCGGCGTCATGCTTTGGTAGATAAGGATTAGATAGACGTCGTGCCAGAGAAGGATTTTGGAACGATTCTGTCAAGGCTTGCGTTACAGGCCTGGATGTCGAATTAATCTTTGAGGGGCCGGAATCGCGACGTTTCGATTGACGTTGACATGGGCGTTTTAATATAGGCGGAATGGAGTCACGACGTTTGCGAATCAATTTCAAGCTTTCGGTTTCCTTCAAAAGTTTCCTGGACTTTCGTATTTGTCTATCCACTGTGAGTTGCTCAATTTGTGAGCGCGAGATAATCATCTGACACGTATACGCGATCTCTTGTATAATAGATTTCTCTCCCGTTGGAGAAATATTGTCCCCCGCTGATCCATAAATTATAGAATTACAGTAGTCTGCTTGTAATTTTACAAAGCGGAAAGCAAGTAAACAGAATAGTGCCCAAGCAAGTATAACTTGTACGCCGATCCAACACAAGTATAGACCGAGAGTGAGAAAGAACAAGTTAAACAGTAACTCTTTCTTGCGTTGTGAGGTATGTGCCATGGTCTTTTTTATCTTTCAAACTTCTACAATGAGCGAGAGCAAATACTCTCAATCTACATGTTGATTTATATCTATACTGCATAGTGCGCACTATAAAAATGTAGTCTGTGGGAAAGAATACTTCCTTCGATTTGCCAGGGGAACATATTTGGTAATCGAGAATGTGGCAGTAGGTGGAAACTATGATTATTGGTCACAAAAAGACGGGTCATAGAGAAACCATCTCCTAGATGCACATCCCCCTTGGACTGAGTGCATTTATGGAGAGTCTGTACATATATTTATTAGTACATTATAGCCCGACTGATGCGAAATCGAAACCAAGCCTTCTAACCTTTGCTTTATTTAAGTAACCCGATTGCCTTTAAAAATCTTGCTTAAAGCCAAAGAATTGAAGAAATTAAGGCTTATTTAAAATGCTGATGCGCTAGGTGTTTTATCGCTTACTTGGAATTCGCGAAAGAATTAATTAATCTTTGCCAAGAATAACAAACTCCTTTTGGATCAGTTGCCCGCTAGATCGAGTGATTACAGGTAACTCGATAGCACAGTCATGCAGACTTAATAAGGAGAGAACCTAATTATCGAAAACAACGTGTCCAATATAGAAAGTCTTGTCCTCTTAATATGAACTGTATACTTTGGCAGATATCGCTAAAGCCTCGTTTCCTTCATTACCGTTGAATTAAAGGATATTATTGTTAATTTGTTTCATTGTGTCGTAAACTTCAGGTGAGGCTTATCGCGATTTTACATACAAGTATGTTCGCTGACTTATTGTCCAATTAAGTAACACACGGTTGTTACAACTCGATCTAAGGAGTTGGAACAAGCTGCTGAAAAGTCAGTAGAAACAGAATGATTTTACAGTTAAAAATAAAAAACTGTGAAGCCCGCTTGCAAAATTTACCAGTTAAAGAATTATCTAATCATTACTCTTGAACTAATTGTGCATTTTTTGCTTCTTACTAGTCTCCAGTTCTACTTCCTGATTATTATTTGACATTAAGGAAAAATAAGATTTTTATTGGAACTACGGAAAACTATTTAAAGCCTCTTGAAGAATAGTAAAAATTAAAAAGCATATCAGAATTAAAAAACTTTATTAACCAGCAAGTTCAAAAGGCCCAGGAACAAACAACATTTTATTTCGATCGAATAATTAGTCAAAGTTATAATTACTCTGCACGTATAGGATGAGAAATCTTTACAATACCGATACGTATCTCTTTGATGGCGTGGAATTAGTTCAGCTCCAATGGTTAACGTGTATGGATTAGTCAGGGAGTTTTGCTTATTTCCATGTTGCAGTTCTGTTTTTCACGTTGTCAATAGATAAAGTGTGTTTATGTAAACGTAACGATTGCTGAAACTGCTCTATTACTTTAATATTAAGTTGCGTACCTGGCAAATACAGTGACCAGCATACCGGGCACGTGTGTAACGAGCATATCTTTGGCCTGTCAAAAAGCTCGAGTTATTAGTTGAGCGTGACTTTGACCAAAGATGCATTGCATATCGATGACGCAATTCATACGTCATCACTCCCAAAAGACATTGTCTCGGACTTTACTTTTACCCAATGATTCAAACTCCTTATTGACTAATCCAATATACTCTCTAGTTGGGAACGGTATAACTATGTGAACCCATACACCAAACATATCAGCATCTCCGAGATCATCGTCGCAAGTCTGTGGTTGGTCTAAACATTTTTGATATGGAAATTGTGTTGTGTTAGAACAAGGAATGGGGCTCGGGCTTAGGGGAAGTTAAATATGGGAGAAGGGATGCGGAGTAGTGATAAATTGAGATGACGGGGGCGGATGACAAATGAAATGCTGTTTATTGCATTTGCCATCTCGCGTGGCCATTTGGAATCATGTGAGAGTATCGTATGTGTGTGGAGAAATGCTATGTTTGTCGTAGAGTGTAAACAAGTATAAATAATAGAAATAGTAATGCACGAGTATGAAGCATTATTATATGTATGGAATATGATTTGTAATAGTAATGGCTAGTGAATAACTTATTAAGCGAATTAAGGTTCATTTAATTATATTTGATATTTCATTTATTTAATGTTTATTGTGAATATCATTCTGTTTATCAAGGACCGAACCACAACACAACCTGTATAACGCAAGCGGAATCAGTGGAGATTAACACAGTGTAATCTGGTTTATATTCTTTATATCTGCAGATTAGGTGTATCAATTGGTTCTGTTTATTTTAATTGCAGTATTACAATTATCAGTATATCGCATATAAATAATTTAATATATAATCTACAATGCAAAATGATGTAATATACACAGTATAATAAAATTTATAATACTGCACCGTACTTTAAAATATACACACATGTATCACAATATTGTATCCAATACATTGCACACATTCTGTTTCTTCTCTTTGTTCTTGTAATCTCTACGTTCATCATGTGTTCTTATTGCGTTATTATATGCTTACTCTATTATCATCTATTCATATCCTTCTCCTACTGTCTCTGATTGATTGTTCGGCAGATCGGATTTACACTAGCCATAAAAGTTAATGATTAGCGAAAACATTTATGCGCAGACTAAGAAGTTCTCGCGCTTTCCCATATCAAGCCTGGACCATTCTGTGTGTGACTCCTTTTTGTTTATGCCCATCACACACTCTCAAAGTTTACTTTTTTTCACCATCACCCCCCATTCCATCCCCCAACCTCCCTCCTCATTCTATTTTCTATACTCCCAGACAAGAAAAACACACTTCGTCAAGTGTGCAAGAAATATAGACTAAGAAGTAGTACCCAGCCCCACTCATCACACCCAAGGTACTCTCTTCCCACAATATTCTCTGGACACTTTTTTGTTTAACTGTCACTCATCGCACTCTATTGACACAGCCTACTGGCGTAGCGTGACAAGTTCCAAGTCAGGTATATGGACGTCTGTCGCTAATCTATATTCATTTCCACTTCCGCAACAGACTTGAGTACTCAAACAACTACTTTACTTTAGTCGATGCAGTAATGTCGTCGAGTGGCCAGCAGTCTTCTATAACGAAATTAGCCCAAGTCAACGAGCAAGCATGGCTTACGCTGGGTAAATATAATAATATACTGTTATTTAATATAGCTATTTGGAACTCCCATTCCGGCAACTTGCAAAAAAAAGAATTGGAACACGATATATGTGTCCTTTCTTCTACGTGTTATACCTTTCAACGAGTAAATCGTAGGGAAACTTCTGCTTAAGAGCGAAAACGCACATATGCACAAAGGGAATGGATGTACGACTGCATACAACTACTATATCTCTTATCTTCCCTTTGTTTAATGCGTTATTCGTTTACCCTTCGCTACTTCTTGTTTACAATCCTTCTCTACTCTTGTTATCCTCATGTTATCATTCGTAACCCATCAACTTATGTTCTCCGATACCTTTTCTCATAAACCGCTCCCCTTCCCGATTGCCGATCCTAAGTAAAACAATGGGGATCGTCATAGTCTAATTAGTACGAAATACATTCATGAATGCATTGTACACGTGATTATCTTGACAGTCTTTGAACATATCATTACCAAAATCCGTGGAAATGACGAAGATACAAACTTTACAAAGTCAATTCATCAATCATTATCGGTATCATCACTACAACTAACGTTTTACTTGGTTCATTCGTTATATCAGGGCAAGTGGCGGAAATGATGTCAGACTATGACAGAGCAATGCAAGCGTATGAAGCAGCCATTCGACATAACACATACTCTATCCCTGCTCTATCATCTATTGCAGCATTATGCAGGCATAGAGAGCAATTTCCAAGAGCTGTCGAATATTTTCAAAGGATATTGTCTATTGATCAGAATAATGGTGAAATTTGGGGTGCATTAGGTATGTATTGATGGAAGAAGTTGGGATTCGTTATTATGTTTGGTTACTAATAGATGTATTCTGTTGGATAGGTCACTGTTACTTAATGATGGATGATTTACAAAAGGCTTATAGCGCTTATCAACAAGCTCTTTACTATTTACCTAGTCCAAAGGTAATGTTGATATTATTTAACAAGATGCTAGATAATGTCAGTGTATTATATCGATCTCATATTTATTTATCGATCAGGAGCCTAAACTCTGGTACGGAATTGGTATTCTATATGATCGCTATGGTTCACTCGAACACGCGGAAGAAGCATTTTCGCAAGTTATGAGAATGGAGCCGAAATTTGAAAAGGCTAATGAAATATACTTCAGATTGGGTATTATATACAAACAGCAGCAAAAATACGAGTCTAGTCTTGGGGTATATATCGGTTATGCATTATCTGCATGAGTTGGCTAGAGTTGGCAAAACACTAATCAGAAGTCGTGATTCTAGTGCTTTAAATACATTCTACACAACCCCCCGCGCCCATTAACTGAAGTTGATATATGGTTCCAAATTGGGCACGTGTATGACATGCAGAAAAACGTAAGTATGATTGTCGGAAACGTGACTGTTAACAAAATATCGGTAGTCTTCCCGTTAATATCACATCGACATTGCCGTTTTTGCAATATCAAATGATGTACTTATGTTAACATATTCTAATGTCTGAATCAATGTCTGACAGTATACGGCAGCTAAAGACGCATATGAACGTGTGTTGGTTGAGAGTCCTAATCACGCCAAAGTTTTGCAACAGCTAGGATGGCTGTATCATCAACCAGGATCAGGTTTTACTGATCAAGAGCATGCTATCACATATCTAACAAAGTCCATTTCGTCAGGTGAGTTTGATTGCTAGCATGTCCGGATTAAAGTAGACGTAATGAGTGCAGTAACTGAATATTTGCGTGTTATCCCATGTATAATAGATGATACTGATCCTCAATCGTGGTACCTGCTGGGTCGTTGTTTTATGGCGCAACAAAAGTATAACAAAGCATACGAGGCATATCAACAAGCAGTGTAAGTAGAGATGGAGGGAATGGAAATAAAATACAGGACGTATGACACGCATAAGTAAATAGGAGAACAAGAATGACTGCATTCTTAACCAATATTTACGCCAATTTATTGTTACAGTTATCGTGATAGTCAGAATCCAACTTTCTGGTGTTCAATCGGTGTACTGTATTATCAGATTAGCCAGGTAAAATAAGAATAATTTGTATTTAGTTGTGATTCAAATTTATTCGGGGGTCTAACTCAAGCCCTGTTATTATAGTTCCGTGATGCATTGGATGCCTATAGTCGTGCTATTCGTCTAAATCCAAGCATAAGTGAAGTTTGGTATGACTTGGGAACGCTCTACGAAGCATGTAATAATCAAATCTCGGATGCGTTAGATGCGTATCAACGAGCAGCAGACTTGGAGCCCAGTAATCCTCACATCAAGCTAAGATTACAAATGCTAAGAAATCAACAGGCCCAGGGTGGACAAACTACCGCCCCAGTCCCACAAGATGTTATTAACCCACAGGCATATCAATCTCAGAATGGCGCATCGATGATAGGAAATCCTCAATACACGCAGCCGCCAGGACCACAAGGTCCGCCACCTCTTTTGCAAAATTATGGCAACAGAAGTGTAGACAGCAGACCACCACATCAACAACCTCCACCCCTGAACATGAACTTTCCTCCAATTAGTCAGAACAGTGGAAGAGATCTTCCTCCAATTAATCGTAGTAGAAGCCCGGTTCCACCCTACAACTTAGCATCTCATCATCCACCACATATACGTGATTCTACTACTTCCCCCAATCAACCGCCCAGTTTCAATCCGGTTATGCAACCCCCACACGATGCAATGCAGCTACCGCCGCAATCCGCTCCACCGCCATTACGTCATAATAACGAGAAACGACCGTCGCCACAATTACCCCATATTCCAGAAGACCGACGATCTAGTAGATATTCGCCACAATTACCAGAATCGCAACCGTCAACACGCCAATACAATCCATCGCCGCGTATGGGTCCAGAACATTCCGCCTCTCAACACAACAGTTATCATCCTCATCAATCCATGCCTCTCCATTCTCAACCAGTAGTAGATCGTCGAGACACGCAAGAAATGTATGATCCCACAAAAGTCAAACCCGAAGAATCAAGTGTTAGACACGGAAATGGTGTACAGCAGTCTTCCCATCAGCCTTCATATCACACATCTGACACCCATCCTACCTCTCCGCCATCTCCTTCGCCCTCCTTAGCTCCTTCAGTACACGAATCTCATCAGTCACATCACCCACATCATGATTATCGTCAAGATCCTGCTATCAAACCAGAAGAATTGACAAATTCATCTTCAATAGAACACCCGAGCAGATCATCCATTCTCAACCCTCCCCATCCACCATCGCAACCACCACCACCACCAATGATAGATCATAGATTGCATGAGAATGAGAGCCCGGTCGAAGATAAATCGGTTCTCCCAGTTCACTATCGCCAAGAAGAACATCATCTTCGCCGAAGATCCCCTCCTCACATGCCCGAATTAAAACCACCGTTGGCTCAGTCTGAACTTTCTTCTCCGCCACCTCAAAGACCATCAGTTACACGTGAATCTCCAGTAAGAGAGAACGCGGGGTCGTCATACGGAATTAGTAATGGAGATAATAACAGTCCTGTATCTGCTAGTGAATTGCCTCGCAAATCGTCTTCGCCTGAACCACAACCCTCACGCATGTCATCAGGAGATGCATCAAGAGAGTTACCGAAACCGAACATTCTAAATGATGAATCATCATCTGCTCCACACTCTCCTAACGAACCAAGATCCCCATCATTGGCAAGAATAGTTGATAATCCGATACAAACAGATGCCGAAGCAAATCAGAAACCGGTATTACCGGCTATCCGTACCACTTTACCACCTATTACATCGCCGCAGTCTGATAGGTCTGTATCAAGACAAGTTGAAGTTGATGACGACTATGACGGCGGATCGGCTGCTGACACATTATTGACAATGCGAGATACGGCTGCACCGCTCAGTAGCGCATCTTCAGCATCATCGGGAGGACAGAAGCGGCCTTATTCTCCCAAGGCAGATGCTGAAGAAGATCGGGCACGAGAGGAGAATTCAGCGAAACGATCAAGGACTTCACCCACTACTCGTGCTAATAATGATGAGTCTTTGTTTCATCATCCATCTACTTCTTTACCATCATCTTCGGCATCATCGACACGTGATCAAGACCGAGAGCGGTCGCGTGATCGTGAGCGGGACCGGGATAGAGATAGAGATCGGAGTGAGCGAGAAAGAGACCGTGACAGGGAAAGAGACAGAGATAGGGAACGAAGTGTAGACAGAGACAGAGATCGTGATCGGGAAAGAGACAGGGACACCAGAGATCATCGTGACAGAGATCGTGAACGTGATAGAGACAGCAGGGACAGCAGGGACAGCAGGGACAGCAGGGACAGCAGGGACCACCGGGATAGGGATCGCGAGCGAGATAGGGATAGGGACAGAGACAGAGATAGAGACCGTGACAGGGATCGAGATCGTGACAGGGACCGAGATCGTGACAGAGATCGGGGTCGTGACAGAGAACGAGACAGAGAACGAGACAGGGATAGAGACAGAGACAGAGACAGAGATCGGGAGCGGAGGAAGTCCGACCAAAGTGCGAATGCTGGCAACTCGCATTCACCGGGTGCAGACTCGTTATAATATTTTAGTATTTGATGTGCAAACTGTTCAGCATGATTTGTATTGAATTATCGATGACTCTTGGCATTAAACGAATGATATGAAACGTTGAAAGTAAAGGTTCCAAGTAATGTTAGAAAATCCTGTGTTCATAGGCTACTGACGAGAGTATTCATCATTATTCAATTAGTATCATACGATTATTATATTATTTTGTTTCCTTTATATTATTTCTTTCCCCTCCACTCTGATATGTTTTCTCACCATAGTTATTTGATGTGCCTGTCCTTAATAATAGGATATTCGCATCATTTAAAATTCTTTTATATATTTTTTTTGTTTGTTGGGATAGCAGAATGGTAAATTCAGGTCTTTAGTTAATATTGTTTTGGAATTAGTAAATAGTTTGTGAATTTTTCAGCTTTAAGTTTTCATGGAATGGTTCTGACGCAAAAAATAAAGATTTTTGACATGTACAAGTGCACTGGTTGCATGTTCCCATTCAGTATACATTTTGTCTTCCAGTGGTTCAAAAATATTTAAGTAATTATCCATACGCCACTGGTCAGCTCACTAGAAAAACATGGAAATGCACTGCGTGAGGCATCTGCGCGGGACTGCGGATGCGGCCATTGACCTTGGCCGCCATTCTACATACTCGATGGCAGTGACCGATAACGAGCATGGCAATTCTCCACGAACAAGTGAATTCTTCTTACTGGAATATGTTGATCCAATAAAAGCTGCGTTGAGCGATCATGATTACACGAAATAATGTATGCAGGGCCCAAATGAATGTTTAACAACGCGTGATCTCTAAATTCAATTAGGTTTACCCCTTAGGGAATGCACCAGGGTTGTTTAATAACCACGTGCTGGGAAGCAAGATGGACACATGACATGCAATTTTAACTATCGCGAGGAAATGTTTACAATAATTAGTTTCATGGACAAAATTGGAAGTTATTGTTAGATTACTCTTAAATCGGTACACAAAGATTTCAGAGCATACCATTTGCATCAATATGTAAACCCGGTATTATTGACCTGATTTTTATATATCGTTCACTCTAAAACCTGATTTATACATTATCCTAATAATTAGTCTATTAATAACATTTGCGGAGCACTGACCTATACAATACCATTTGTTTCTCAATACAACAATTATCAAAGTACAGGAAATAAATTTTGGCTAATCATACATCCATCTTACAATGTACTTTCGATCATGATAACAATAATGTATCGCAAGATTTATTTCTCGATGGAGAAAGTGAAGATAATCGTACAATTGTATATTAGTTTCTCAATAAAAGAATCACTAAACAAAGAAGGTAGAGCAATGCGGGAATTTATCTTATAATGTGTCCTTGATCTTGGGAACTTGTGATATAGTAATAGACTCTTATAATTATCCACAAAAACCATTTCTTCATATGTGCGGATAAATCGATTATCCTTGATGCACTATAGCGCAGTATTGCCTTCTCAATGACCGTTAATCTCTTTTCACTTCATTTTACATGCGTTTTCAGATATTAATATATTTTTGGATGAACATTCTGACCTGAAGCAGAAGCGAATGACAAATCATGTGGTTACACGGTTTCCTATATGTGTAACAATTTATATACCAGTCTCGCGTTATAACAGCCAAAAACTGGCAATAAAGTTCTAAATTATATAAAAAAAACTGCCAAAAACTTTTGAGATGTGCGTTTGTATCGGTCTCGCAACCTTCTAAAATAGGAAAAATTTGGCGACACACTTTATAAAATCTCGGCACAAAATTTCTTATATAACGTTCTTATATAAAGATTAATTTTCATAGTAAAAATCGGGGCTGCCAAAAGCAGTATGGTAAAATGTATATTAATACGAATATTCATATAAGCATTATGTGAATAATCATTACTACCAAGCAATCTTGATATCTGATGCTGGCGGCCGCAGACGCATTGTGCGCGTAAGCCACGCGCCCTGCCTTCGTTCTTGCAGTGTAAGATGAAAAAGTGGCTTAAATCAATGACACTTTTGATCAATGCTTCTGATCGCCCTACACGCGTAATAACTATTGCAAAACGTTATTCTCGATGGTATAAATGGGGTGAGAATTTGCAAGGGTTGTTTTCTTCATTAAAGACAGAATATTATCTGCAAACGGTTAAATAACATAATTAGGATGTTATATAAAAGTGTGCGACGGGAATATTGACTAATCAAAATGCCAAATAAAATTCCCCTTCGATTCAACGATGTTACTATTTCGATTGTCTTTTGTCAAACCAAATGAAGCTTTATTATTGTTTAAAGGCATTTCGATTCGAAAATTTAATAAATAGTCGAAGATTACGCAGAATACTTCCACATAGCTGAGTTAGGATTATAGTATATGAAGCAATTGTTTGTTTACTCTACGTATCAATTAAAATAACGTGACAGTCGCTATATGATGATTCTTCATAACCTGAGAAAGGGATATTAGAATATGGCCAATGGATCATCAACATAATGTACCTGATGAATGTAACATATACCTCAAAGACGGCTCCGTCATATCCATTCAATTCGGTTGGACCAAACGGATTCTGTCCAATTGATCCCCGATTGAGAATTAATGGCCGACCAGGAAAGGGACCGCCAAGGCGTTGTTGAATCTCTTCAATCTACATGGATGAGGAAATACTATATAAGAATGGACCGTGAACAAAAAGAAATAAGTATGCCGATACCAATACCAAAATCCATACCTTCATTTCTGGTGCAATATAGTTGTTTTCATAATTTTCATCTACATCTTCCACGCTTAATTGTGCAGCTTAGGCACACAAAAAGTTTTTTTTTTAAGATAAGAAAACTCGATTATCAAAATAATAAGGAACTATAGATACCTTGGTTCGATTCATCGCTAATAGATGATGCTACATTCGATGGTACAAGTATCTTATATGGACATCGCTTGTATCTACCCGGTGGATGTTACACGCCTTATGTGAGAGAAGCTCCAGTATTCAATTTCAATATTTAACATACATGTTTAAGTAGTTGATAATTACCGTTGAAAATCGTAATGTCCGGGTACATTGCCGTTTAATACCACTTTCTTACATCGATGAGTGGATCCATCAAATAAAACGTCAAAGCCGAGATGGAAGTAGTTGTAAAAATAATCTATCGCTTGTCCGTCTTATACAAATGGTAAATAGTCTTGAGATATAAACGAATATTATTACACTTTTATAGTAACAGTTGCCTCGCGTGTTTTACCTTCTCCCGATGGTAACGCCGCGTCTGTAACAGCTGCATTGGTCATATGGTTACCAAAGTCGGCAGATTTACCGTTTTCTTCGGAATGTATTTTCATCTGATCATCCTCCTTATAGAAAATACGTAATGGCGGTCCAATCTCAACTAACAAGTCTTGAGGTGTCGTAACATTCAGTAGAATCTCTGTTGACTGTCTAGTCATATTGCTCGTAGGAAAAAAATAAACTGTAATGCCCTTCTTCAACTGTATGAACGTTACGAAATAATGAGCACAAAGTATACGAAGGTGAATAACAAATATGATTGACTTTTCCTTGAAATCCAACATCAAATACCTCAGCAATAACGCTTTCAACTTCACCAGCATCCGACCAATATCCTCCAATGTTCTCATTACCTGTGCTTCTTATCAACACAGGTTCGGATGGCGTTCGGAAATTTGATCCTTGATAGATGTATAGACGCGTAAGTAGTGGTGATGTCCCGCCAGGTAGCTCTAACGGTAGGTCTGAAGTGATTCACGCGGATTAGAGTTTTCGATGATACTGACATGCGTTCATTTGAAAAAGCTCATACCAAATCAAATCTTTGCTACCAGATGACTCAGGTGTAAAAAGAGACGAGTGTTCTTTTGGAATGGGGAAGATAAACGATATGCCCTAAGCGGTAAGAAAAAAAATGAGTCAGAATATTGAACAGATCATTAATCTCATGTGACGCGAGTCTAAATATATGCGTAGCATCCCTACCGGATAATTCAACGTATATTCATTATTTGATATTTCGAATTCGCCACGAAACGTTGGTCTTAAAAATCAAAATACATTCACATTAATAAAATCCACAAAGTATTCACGTCTCCAACGTTCAAAGATACGTACCCAAATTTCTTATAAACTAATACTGCAGTCGGTTTTGTTCTACTAGAACTACAAAGCCAAGAATATCGTTGAAACGAATGTGATTCGTGCATCCCGTCTGTGGGGCTTGTCTAAATCAGATTCCTCACCTAATTTCATTCTCCGCGTATGTCAATCTCAATCGAGAAAAGTCATAAATTTCGATTGACTTTAATCGCTGCGTCGATCCGTCGAAACGAAGATTAATGCCATTGGCTGGCAACGACAAGAATAGATCTGTTAATGGAGACTATGGGTGAAACAAGTTGGTAAGTGAGCTATGTAGTAATATTTATCGAAATGCATTACAAGTTAGCCAATTAATAATACTACTTCTTCGCTGTACTTGCAGTCGACGGTGGGAAAGGCTATTGTTTGTTCGCGAAGCGAGTTTATTATGTCCCAAATGGATACGCCTTGAATATAAAAAAGTAAACATGAACTACTAGTACTGTACGATATATAGTTTTAGATCAGGCTTCCCTCTCTTACCAAGACGAAACAAGCCTAAACCCTCCCTCGGTATGATTTGAAGGTCAAGTCTGCGAGGTTCACGATCATGGTACGGATTATTCATTACTGCGATAATAGAAGCCATGTCGAAGAGATCTGCGGCATATTTAAGACTGATCATTGTGGCACGTGCATCCTCAGAATACAATAAAAAGGCTCCTTAAAATTTCTACGACCAAAAGACATAGTAATAGTATGAGTTCTACACTCAAAACGGTACTACGTGTGTGTTTCCTGGAAAAGAGACCTTAAATGCATAAGGTGCAATAAGCCTACAGTCATTAGAAAGCACGACTTTACTTTCTCTGACTATTTTATTTAAGCAATATATTGTTCGTAGTGTGGCGTATATACGGGAAACCCGCAGTATCAGTCATGCATTCCGAGGTTATTATGAATATGGTATATACAGTTTTCAACGGTTATTCTGTTGATCCGAACGTCGAAATCAACTTGTTCCGTCATTATAAATGCTTGCCTGACCAATTTTATTTGTCCTTCTGTCAATGTCGTGACAATTTCTTTCTATTTGAGTTTATTTGACGATCCGAACTAGAGACGTTATCCTCTTTCAATAGTTAATAGAACCCATTATAGCACTATACTTTATAGTATTCACGTTTATTTATAGTTAAGTTTTATATTTGTAGGGAGATGGCCTTAACTTTTAACCGAAATTCACTGAACATTTTCAATCATGCAGGACAGTCAGATATTTCTTGTCAGCCAAGAGCCGTTCGTAACTTAATTGGGTATTTTCTGCATTAAAATATGTAGTTGTAGAAAGTCTACTGAAGAGACCATACTTATCTTCATATATTATTCAATGCAACTTGTTTGTAACACAAATTCTAATTTATTTCCTTACTATCGCTATTATAATATATATACTTGCTATGAGATTTAAGAGAGCCTACAAGTTCCATTCCGAATGTATAGCAACATCTGGACACAATCTCTCGGAGAGACGGAAACATTTTAGTTAACGTGTATTTCCAATCAGTATCTATTTACTTGAGAATGTACGTACTATTGGTCACCCGTGAAAAAGTTTTTCCGACATGAAAATCAAAATACTGCTATTACAGTAACT